AACATTTTTTCTTGCTTAAAATTACCATAAAAGGAAAATTTTTAACAAAACGGACGCGATCAGGAGAGAGTTTTTTTACTTTTTTTCTTGAATAGTATTAAAAGAGCACAAGAGTTTGATCCCATATAGGAGCCTTGTGTTAAACTCTTCCTAGCAAAGAGAAACATATGTCATGCTATTGAGTATTGTATCTTGCTTTGCAAGTAAAAGTATAATAAATATAATAAAGCATAATAACTATTTGCTCTTTTCAAAAAAAAAAAAAAAAATTAGATATACAAACAATTTTGTGCATTAGTGTATAATTTGTTAAAAAATATATATATTTTTTTTATTTTAGAAAATTATATGATATGCTATACATTTAATATTTATATTAAAAATAAAAGTTTTTTCAACTGAGTAAAAAAATTTATATTAAACTTACTGTATAAGTAGAAAATAAAAAAAATAAAATACGACATTATATAATTTATATAATTATAAGATTTACATTATATAGTGACAAAAAACTGAATACACACGTGTCACCTTTCAATAGCCAATAAACTATTTTTCAGTTTCGAAGTAAAAATATTCTCCACAAACATTTGATACTTTCCATATTCTTAGATTTAGACTTTCCATGACAGGTAAATAATGCTTTACTTAGGCTAAGTAGCAACATTGGAGACAGTTCTCTGTCGAAAGTTAATGTTTAATAAATCTATTATTAGTCTTGTCTCAAGCTTTAATGTCAAAACTAAAGGAGATCAAGAAATGCAATAGATAGTAAAGACACATTCAGCATAAATACAAAAAAAACATAGTGCCATAATCTAATCAAGCGCATGATTCCTTTTGATATTTAGCGAAGATGAATGCCAACAGTTTCGAAGTCTTGGCCAATAAAATAGAAAAGGCAGTGAATGTATGCCTGTCCGATTCGGAAGAGCCAATAGATAGCAGATTAAGAAGGACTTTGGTGCCGCTTGCTTCCAGTCAATCAAAAGAAGTCTTCACTTTGAGGAAGGCGACCCTCGAATATGTGTTCAAGAAGATTGGATTGAGAATATCAGTAAGCAATCGAACAATAGGAATTCACAACATGTTCTAAACGACTAACAATTGAATTGCGCTATATACCAATCAGAATCTTCCATCACAAGAATTATTGCCTCAGGCATTTAAACTTTTGAACATGATATTAGATTTGATAGAAATATTGGGAGAGAACAAGAGTGAAAAAGGTATTTCACTATCTTAAAGGAATAGGACTAGTTGATTCATAAGAGAAGCTTACTTGATACATAAATTTTTGTAGAATTGTGCGAACAGTCTTTGTCATTGACCATTCTAGAGGAAATCATGGATACACAATCTTTAGATGTTTGTGAGCATTTGTTTCTTTACTTGGAACAAAACAAGCAAAGGCTATTAGTGGTAACGTCACTTTCGGACACCAGGATATTTGCAGTGTTAGGATTCCTCTCAATCTAAGTTTATTACCCTTGTAAAGGATCTAAAACCAACAGTAGGCAAAGGGCTTATTCTCTTGAGGCTTTGCAATGAGTTGGTTCGTAGAACGTCAAAATCAAACAATAACGGATTTCGTGGAAGAATCATGATGTTTCTATCCAACACATACGCCCTCGGGGAAGTTTCAGGTATTATAATTTCACATTCGCACTCTGGACATTGAAGTATCATTGTAATAATCTATTTCATAATCCTTTTCGTTAGGCGTCAATAAAGGCGGTGAATGCAACGTCGATAATGTCACAACCTTTAGTGCCTCATCGAATGGTGAGGTTAAATTTAATTAGTTAATTTTTTAGGGGTGATATCAATGACAAATTTCTTTTTATGGTCAATTCATTTACAGATGAAGACGCAGAATTTTACAGTAATTTTTGGCGACTTCAGACTTATTTTAGTAACCCACTTAAGATGGGAAAGGATTTCAACCTGGAACATGTTCTGAAGGTATGCAGGATTCAATGTGATAGTTTAAATAGTCTTATCTGATACTTTCGTGCATGTCCCAAACGGATCACATCTAACTTAAATTTCTATTAAAAGATTATTGTTTTAGTGGTAGATCGTTTCCAGGAGATTATCGCTCGAGAAAAGATAAAGGAGGCCGAAGAAAATCTCTGTGAAATGGGTGAACGAGGCAACAAGAGTGGAGAGATTTCACCCAAGTCTAATAATGGTTTTGTTCGGGACAAAAAACGACAGTCAGTCTCTCAAGACGAAGAACAAGATGAAACATTTGGTTTCTCAAAAGATTATGTTAAATATTTCCCAAAGTATTTGACGAGCTATGCTCTCTTCAACAAGGAGGTAGGTCAACAATTCGAATGCTGTGAACATGTTAATTGATTAACATGTTAATGAGTTTTCACGCGTTTAGATATCAGATCGAAATTTCAGAAGAACTGTCCTCGTGCAGATCCTCATAATATTGCAATATCTTATGGGGTTATTTCCCGATGAACAGTCTCGTATTTCAAAGGCCAAGAAGCCTGCCGACAATAATCCCGTTCAATTACCAGCATATACAATATCGGAATCGCAGGTTTATATTTGACATGTATTTGATCCGATTATGAAAGATTTAGACCATACGATTATTTAGTAATTCTGATATCATAATTTAAGCAAACGGTGATAATGGATCTATGGGAAAAAATATTCAAACAACTTGGAGAAATCACGTCTAATGGACATTACTTCACTCGTACGGTCCGCCACATTCTCTGTATGGAAAAGCGATGGAATTTCTGGAAGTATGCAAACAATTGCGCATTTGAAAAGATTACCGAACCAAAAAGGAAGGAATTAAAAGATAGATACGATCAAGGACTAAGGAAGAAAGCTAGGCTTACTGAATCTTTGGAGCCAATAAAGTTCACGATGGGTTCCGAAAAATTAACCACTCTTTGGGAAAGTCACAAGAATGTTGACGGTGTAGCTATTCTTGCTGACAAAACACGTATGAGAACGGCACCGGAATTCAAAAAAGTATATGAAAAAATCAAAGTCGATAATTATCCGGTGAGTGGACATATGATATTATAAGAAAATGTATGATTCTGATATATTCGCGATGGAGTGATTGAACTAAAAAATTGAATTTTCAATAAAGCCAACCATAGGTATAATTTTTGATCCATCCGACAGTGCCGAGGAAAAACAAATTAAAGATAAAGGCTGGGTAATTTTCTGTTCTCGTATCTTGCATCACATTCTTCCATTTATTCGGATCGAATTATTTAATTTGTATGGTTAAACAGGTCAATAGGTGGTATGCTTTGAGAACTGCCAGACAGGATTATCTTCTTCATTTCAACAAGCCAGCCGTGAAAAAGGAGTCAAAAAACAAAGTCGCAAAAGAACCCGAAGAAAAGAAAGATGACGTGGATTATATAAAGATGATGATTGACGAAAATCCTACGTGTACTAGTGTCACTAGTGTCTCCAAAAAACAGCCCGTTGAAAATGACGCGACAAATGCGGAGCATAAGCAATGATTGGTTTAAGTTCCATGACTCAACCTAACCTTTATTATCTTTTAAGAGGAACTTGTTTTTTTCTAGAATTTCCATTAATAGAAACACTTTGTAAATATGATTTAAATTGATAATATCTATGAATAGGGCATCGAAATCTTATTTAAAATCTTTTGCTAAAATTTGAGCGAATCATTTGTAATACTGACGATCGAGATTGAATTGCAAAAAATTAAATCTGTAATGTAATAATAATAAAGAATAATCGTCTTCCAAGGACATTGTAACTTTAACGAACGATCCCAAGCGGTACGTGTGGCCGCATGATACTTTTCTGATTCAGAAAAAAAAAAGCGAGAAACAATTTTTTGAGAAACACTCACATCTGAAAACTCGTTTCGATATCGATGCATAAAAATTTATTTAGCGCGAGGATTCTTTATGGTTCTTAACATATCATTAAGCGTCATTACATGTCTCTACGGTTTCTAGCTATAGCATTCCAGAACATGTTTTCGACAAAGATGTTCATCCCTTTCAATAAATAATGACGCGACACCTGAGTATTCAACTAATCTACCAATCACTATCTTTAGCTTCATCTAGGACAACTTCTTTAGACTAGTTGACGTTGACGCTTGCCATTTATTCTAACATTCTGCCGCCGATCATCCGTTATTATTTTTTTTTTTTTCAAGCCAAATAATTGGTGTAAGAACAATTAGCAATTTGTTGCAAAAGAAGCTTCCCATGTCGTCCTTTCAGCAGTTTGTACGATCACAAAAGAACTTATAATTCCCTCCCAAACGAATTTTTTTTTTTGGTCGTTTTTCCTCTACACATACAGAAATTAAAAACACGAACAAAGGCATGAGAATAATGTCAATATAAAAATACGATTGTTTCCCTTAGGTAACGAATCAAATCTGAAATACGTGAGTTTATCAATCTATCGATTCCATCGTTTGTAAGCTAAAGAATTTTGAAACTGTTTTTTATTTACAATCTGTTATTTAAGAGCTAAAATTTCGTATTATGAAACGCGATCATGAACTTATATGTAAATATTACAATTTCAGTTCGTTGTCGAATAAGTGAAAAAACGGTAATCAATACCCGATTAAAGACCTCGTCAAATTACACAGCTTCGTAGAAATGTTGCTTCTGGCAGAAACGAAATCATAAAACCTAAGGTTCCCGAATTTTAAATTTCCAACCCTACATATCTAACGTGAAAATGAGAATCTATTTATAACTACAATTTATTATGCGAGGTAAATTATAATCCCAAAATTTTTTTGACTCTTGCGAATATTAATATCTGTGATGATTACGAATATAGACTTAATTGGCTCAAGCATACTGATCCAAATAGTCTAGAAATTTTATGGCTCCAACTTTCAAACCAATCACTTGAACATGTGCACCGCCAAGCTCTCGCCGAAAACACACGCCGTTTCCCTCCTTATTATACCAAATTTCAGTTGGATTTTTTGTTTGCGGCCAAGGTAATCCCCAAAAATCTTTATATTTGTGTTTCCTTCCGCTTCTCTTATGTTCAAACACCAGTGCAAAACAAATATAAGGCTTAACAGGGATTAACGGGAATTCTTGAAATTCTCCATATATACTTTTTGACTCATCATTATATGTCAATTGAAATGGATCTAGGTATACCCACTTTAGTTTGTGATCTAAATATGCGGCCTAGAGGATAAAGAACGTTCCTTTAAGTATGATCAAGAGACAATAAATCAGAAATTTAAGATCTTTTCCATACAAGTAGGTTCCATCCTTTTCCGTCCAATTTTGAAAGCTCTTCTTGCACAACAACTGGTACCAACGAGTTCCATTGTTTACATAGACGACGAACATTGAAAAGTCCTTTGAACCTTTTTGAGACATCGTCGTTTTATTTGATTAAAATTAATCATTTTTAACAAAATGTTATTATACATTATCAGGAAAAGGGCTCGCAACCTTACCCAGAAACCTTTAACACGTTACGAAGAATATGTAAGACGACTTCATTAGGTAGATTTTTTGTTGCCATGATAATGAGCGTATAGAAGAGAAACGATTTAGTTTTGTTTTGAAGGTATTTATGTACATGCAACTACCCATCGAGGAAATGATTGGCATGATATACGTCATCAGCAATCATGAGATTCACACAATTTACCTGTTTTTTACGTAAATATGGTAGCAATCAAAGTTTGAACCGATATACTGTATTATACTTTTAAAAATTATTAAAATTATTTGAAAAATATGAAAAATATAATTTTTTATATGTATTAAAATCTCGTAATATAAGTCATAAAAATCACATTAATGAATTTAATTAATACAAATGATTACCATATTTAAAATTAATTAATTAATTAAAGATTTTTTATTTGAAAAATTTTGATATAAATTAAATTCAATATCAAATTTAAAACTATTTTGTCTGTATCATTAAGTTTTTGCTTTAACAAAAATTTTATTATTATAAATATATGCTATTTATAAATAACCAATAATTTATATAATATATATACATATATATTATTCTAAACAACTATTAAATATAAAACTTTAATTAAAAATAGATTTTTTATTTAAACTTTTAAACTTTTTAAATTTAGTTAATAAACAAAAAAAATTATTAGAATAATAAAATAAGATTGATATATAAATAATATATAAATTAAAAATTAAAATCATTTTTATGATAATATTAATTATTAAATTTATTGATTTAGAATATAATATAAATATTTTTAAATTAAAATACAAAAGATTCTTAATTCAATTTTATCAAAAAAATCTAAAATTTCTTATATATTAATTAATCAATTTCTTATATTGTATACATTATATTTAATTGGTTTTAAACTTATATTAAATTTAATTAGATTATACTGTATAAAGATAAATGTTTTGATTTTCTATTGATTGAAAATTAAAAATTATGATTATATAAAAAACTATATAAAAAAAAAACTTTAACTTTAATCTTTATAAATATTTTAATTATTTATAGTAATTTAATGTTATAAAAACTTTTTTACAAATTTTATTGACAAATAATAAAAAAATATTATTATATTAAAACTAGAGTATTTTTTAAAAGTTAATATAAATTTTAAATAAATAATTATTATGATAAGATAAATAAACATAAAAAAGATATTTATAAAAAAAAAATCTTGATAAAATCCTTTTTTATATTATAAAATTTTAGATTCTATTTTTAAAATTGAAGCATTATACGTATAAAAATTTTCGATTTATAATAATAAAATTTAAATAATTTTATATTATAGAAGATTTTTTTTTTAAATTCAAATAAATTAAATTATTTATTATGGTTTTTGACGTTGACTATATTTTCGAAAGTCACGAAATTAATTAATTTGATTATCGCCCACGTGACAATTGCATGATATAATTGGTAAATGATATAAAATTCGTATCCATCTCATTAACAATGTCCAGTGAACTCGAGAAATCCAAAAAAACCAAGAGTGAAAAGAAAAAATTGAAATTAAACGAATCAAAAGGCGTTTCTACAGATCGAGGGCCAAGAAAATCCGGGGGAGATAATAGTGAAAAGTCGAAAATTAGTAAGACGAAAGGTGTCGAGGAGAATGAAAATTCCGAGAGCAAAGGCAAGCATAAAAAATCGAAGCAAAAAAAGTCGAAGGGTGAAGATATTAAAAGCTCAGAAAGAAAACGAAAATCAAGAGAAGTTTTGGGGTCTTCGAACACCGGGGATGCTGAAAAAAGTGATGTCGAGTCGGTCATTAAAGTTGTTAAAAAAGTCAAAACTACGAAAGACAATGAAGACGTGAAGACCCGGCCCGAAGTGATTCAAACAAAGACGAAAACAAGTAATTCATTAGAAGCTAATGAAAATGCATCAAATTCCGCGGAATTACCTTTTGATACATCGGAAAAGTATATCACATCAACAGTGAGCAGTAGGCCAGTAGCTGTTAATGAAAATAGGCCAACTCCTTTTCGCAAAGTTAACGCAGAAATGCTAATTGATTTACCACCAAAAGCCTTCGAGGATTTTGATAAAGGAGTCTTTACATATATTAATGCATTGATAATGCAATATGTCGAAGAACTTGATGGTATCGTACTTGCATATGAAAACGTTCAATTATGCGACAAAACCGGTTATATATATGAAGATTCGCCGTATTGTCATTTTTTTGTAAGAGCTGATTTTATACTTTGGGATGCATCGAAGGGATGCAGAATGGGTGAGTTTTATATTCAAGTTCCAATAGGCATTGAAAGTTCAGTATTATGTAATAAGATAGTTAATTAATTCCTCGTTTTCATTAAAATATAGTCGGAAAGGTCATTAGACAATCACCTTTGCATATTGCACTTTTGCTTTATGAGTCATTTAACGTAAAAATCAACCGTCAGAGTATACCAGATGATGTATTCGAGTGGCGGGATGATGATCTCTTTTACGATGTAATGTTTTCCGACAAGCAATTAGAACTTGATAGGCTATATCAAGATGGTCAATGGTATGATAAACGGACAGGTGAAGGACTTACCGATTGTTGGATAGAATTTGAGGCCGTAGGGTATGCTTCAATTTTGAAAATGAGGTTCCTTGTTATATTATATTGAAAATGAGAATAATCACATCTCGATTTTTATTTTAGATCAGAAATTGATGAAGGAATCATATTTGTTGTGGGATCACTGCAGTATTATAGCAAGAATCCCGTTCAAGAGAATCGTGATGCTTTCGATCAAGTTCAATTTGATATGAGCGCACTTGATCTTACTATAGGGACGGAAAAAGTATTAGACAATTATGAGAACAATTTGAGTATGTCAAACGATGAAAACAATGCAAAGTCTTCATTAAGCAGCGACTCGTCGGATTCGGACGATAGTTCTGTTTCAGAAGATATTAGATTACCAAGCATTCAATAATTTTACACGAGAATTGGTTGCTTAGTGCACTTCACGAAATGATTAAATTTGTTTACATATAATTTGGAATATATCAATAATGTTCTAATTAGGTGGCAAATTAGAAATTTATGTAAATCATACGATTCATAAACCTTCGTTTTACGTACTAACTTTAATAAGTTAAAATGAATCATTAATCCAAAATAAAACTTTCATTCTATTATGGCAATTTAAATTCTTAAGGAATGGCAAAACTTTCGAGACAAAAAAAGTTAAAGCTCATCAATAGCTGTAAAAGTGAACTTTATTGAATAAAAGAATCAAAGAACACGTATTTGTGTAAAATACATAATAAGTTAGATCATTATTTTTTCAAACAAATACGGCATTCTCGATAGAGAACTCGATTAGGTCGTCGGAGTTCGGCAAAGAGTCAAAAGTGACGTCATCTCCGGATGCCTGTTGCCACAAAGAGAATGTTTGCATAAGTATCTAGATTTTTGTCGTAAATGTATTAGTACATGGTACCACTCACACACAATGAGGCCCATCTCTTGAACAATCTTTCGGTGAGAACGAAATGCCTGTTGCCATCTACCGGCAGACATCCTTCGGGGTGATAACTGCAATATCCCGAATACTTAGTCTTCAAATCCGTGAGGGCCATTTTAAATCTATTTTTGAAACTTTCAGGTTCAGGTTCCTTGGATTAAAGAAAATACATGAATTACGTGTCCAACACTAAAAAGATTAATTTTATATCATAAACTGCTTACTTCATTATCGATGTGAGTCGTAGTAGATTTAATTCCGTTCAAATCAATGCGGTCTATATTAAGATTCAGCGTTAAAAAGAAAATTATCTTATTGTAATTTCGAAACGATAAAATTAGCCTTACTTTTACAATTTTTTCGAATGAGACTGCTCGCTGAATATACCATATACATTAATTATCATGTCGTCAAGAACCTTCCTCAAAGTAAGATAATTAATGGTGCTTACTAATCTGTGGATCTTCCCCCTCTTGATTATTACGTTCTTCTCCGTCTCCTATCGTGTCATAAGAGATTTCGGCATCCATAAGCTTAGATCCCGAGTTTTCGAATTCTTGTGAATCGTACATTTGGTTTGTTAAAAATAATTTCATTTTAGAAGTTAAAATAACAATGAGGAATTAAAAGGTTCCTTTAAAATATTCACCATTCGTTAAGTTTCCATCATATGATGGATGATAATCAAGAACATGGAACATTGCTTCTTTATTAAAGTTATTACATTGAGTAGTAATGGGTGTAATCACATGGGTAACAACCATCTCTGAATTCATTGCCTCGTTTTGCGATGATTCATTAGTATGATTACTACTGCCAATATGATCCGAAGATAGAAGATGTTCAAGCAAAGCTTCTGAAAATTCGAAGTCCTTAGGTAAAATTGAGTCCATCTCTATATTAAGAAGATTAACAAGATGAACTTCGGGTGGAATGGTCCTAGTGTTGTTGGTGGGAACAAGTTCAGTATCAAGGCAATTTGTAGATGACACGAACTCCGTAGATTCATCGTCTAACAATTCTATTACATCCTTGCTTTTGCTGTTGATCCTTTTCTCTTCTCCATCGACATCATGTTGTGTATAGAACTTCATTTCTTTATCATTCGGCATTCCAGAAAATCCCTTTATAGTACCTCGCGAACAACCCTCCATCTCATTTTTCCTTGTCTCATGCTCATTCAGCAAGTTTAACACATCCGGATGCTTACAAACAACATCCCAATCTCGATTGTGGAACAAGTTTTCGTGATATTTCTTGAAGCCATGGAGGTACCATCCAATACTTTTCAAGCTATTGGTGGGCTTCTTTGCACGGATATAATTGCAAAGATTCTCTACAGAAATTGGAAACATCGAACCATTAACGTTTCTCCAGCCACGCGATTCAGCGAGGATAATATAAGCTCGCATGGTTTTATCCGCAAATTTTACTTTCTCGTTAATGTTATTGGATGACTCTGAGTTTTTGTTTGAGGAAAAGGATTTTGATTTATTGTTCCTTTTAAGAGGATTTTGAAGCGTCTTTGTCTCTTCGGAGTTCTTCGACTTCGGCATAATTAAGGTAATATCTTTAATGTAATTTATGGTGGTCAATAAATTTATATTCCTTTCTCAAAGAAAACTTTTCTTGATAACGCTTTTTATGACAATAAGTCATACACACTCAATAAATTCTGAGCAATAGTTTCGTCATTAATTACTTTAAGACGAATTACGAAGTTTCTGAAAAGTTTATTTAGTCATACATAAATGAAGCTTCGGATTTTAAATCGTTCTTTTCAATCACCGGGCACCGCTCCATATATTTCGACTTGGATATTTTGAAACTTAAGCAAGTTCTTTTTACGCGATCAATTCTAGGGCCGTAAATTTTTTAATTTCCTTTGCATACACTAATGGTTAATATTCAGTTTGAAATATCACCAAGTATTACGGACTCTTTGTGACGGTAGTTATCGGACAGCACAATTCAACGGTTTCCGAGAATCTTCGCCACGGCGATTCATTTTATAAACTAAATAAAGATTACATATCATTTTTCATATCGTTTCTAAAAAAGATTTATTTTTTTTTTCAAAAAATTGGTTACCTAACTTGCAAATATTTTTATGTTGTTTTTTGATAATAGTAAATGATTTCTCTTATATAAGATTTTTAAAGTATATTTACTATAAGCAAACCAATGTCTACAATAATATAAATTCAATTGTTATTATTGTTATAGATTCTATACAGCATATCTTTATTTACAAAAATTTATTTGTAAAAATCAATAATATATACGTATTAAATATTAATTTATTACATTAAAATTCGATTTCACCGTTAAAAAAAAGTAATCAATGCTTAACTTATTTGTATAATAAAACTTTATATACAGTATTCTATTAATTGAGATATTGCATAAATAAAAAATTTTTACGGTTTTAATGTATAATTTAATTTAAAAAAGAAAGTATTTACAAATTCATAAAAAATCATGTTTTTGTCATAATAAATAAAATCAAATAAATTTTATTTGTTTTAAACCTAAACCGTTCTTATTTTCGATTGCATTCGGATAAAAATAATCCGTGAATGAATCTATGCAGCATATGCGGATGTCATATAATTTAATTGATTTTCAAGATAATTTTTTTAAAATAAATTTGTACCGTACAGTATATCGGAATAAATTCTATCGAGTCTTGAAAAGTATGGCAATACAAATTATTGTTTTTTTATATATTATGCAAATCTCTTATACAAAGATATTCTCATCGTCGATGATAATAATAATCAAAGAAAATCATAAAATAATTGGATATTGATAATAATCACAATAATTTTTAAATAAATTATCAATAATTTGCCGCTGATGATAAAAAATGGTTCCACGTGATATTAAAAATACGTGGATATCACAAGATTTCTCCATCGCCTTTTTAGATTCGATCTCGAGCATAATTTTGCAGGAAGGAAACATATTTGCTCGGAACAATCATACAACATAAGGTTTATGTAAGTGCTAGATTGCTAAGCTCCGCGTACAGTATAATTTGTTGATATTTATTTTGGCGGGAAACAAATGCGTAGCCTTAAATCTGGGAAGACGAAATTGATGTGGAGGAAATCATTGATGATTAGAATTCCGGAAATGCATTCAGTCTTCGGTTAGTCTTTTTTGACTTTAAGCGCATTATATGATATACCCATAGCAGTGTTCGTGTAACATTGATTAATCAAATCGAGTAACTTCTATGATAATAGGAAATGATTTTTTTTGGCGGGAAATGAAAAGATTGGCTGGCCTAATGTGTTACTGTTGCACTATCGGGCTTACGCAGTGGAAACCAACCTTTGAATAGTGCTACGGAGTTTAAAACCACTAACGAAACCCAACGTGTTAGGGCGTAGAAAACCACCTTGAAAACACAAATTACGTAATAAGCATTGTATCATGATGACTCGTGCAGGTCACCCGATTCGCCGGGTTTCATATATTACGTAAGTGAGTATATGAGCGAAAAAGGGTAATAGCAATCAACACAAGGGCAAGTAAACATGCAAGAACAGCAGGTCTCACCATTCAAAGTAACTTACATAAGGAAAGACCACTGTGGCAATCGTGAACCCTCATCTCTTTTTTTTTTTTTTTCTCGGCATTGAAAAATTCCGATTCTAAGGATGAAGGTAGATTCTTTCTTGCTTTTGAGAATCTAATGATTTCAACCATTGAGGTTTGAGCCTTTCTCGCATGCATTAAATTCATTTGAACGAAAGAACTCACACACCTATTCAGTATCTATTCAATGCCCTTTTGACCTCACATGCATTAGTTTTAATTTTCTATTTGCTCTTTGGTTTACGTCCATGCAGAAAATGCTTGTCTACAGTCTTGTTATATTTCAGATATGCGGTCATTAACATGGATTTCTGGATCTATAAATGCTTGTTACGAACATCATTTTCTCACTATACTTGACGTTCTACGACCTATGATTCGAGGACGCATTTCGTACATATGGTACATAGAATATACATAAACCATCCACCTTACATGTGGCGTATAAATTACATACCTCACATATTGTACATTGTAGAAGACTTAAAACGTCTAGAACATTTCATTTTAAATGTTACATTAGCCTCCTCCCCAACCAAATAACCCCTTCCCCTTTCACACAATTGTATAACGAGATTGTGTTTTTGTGTGGATGATTGATTTATCACACGTTTCATGTGCTTTTTTCGTCGAGGGGGGGGAGAAAGTCGACAAATATGTAAACTGATTTTCCGCGTGCAAAACACACCCAAAGTCGACGATTCCTTGGGAATTTTTTGTGTGCGGTGAAATTTAGTCCGCCAACAATGCCAATCATTTTTTTCTCCCAACAATAAATCATCTAACAGCAAAAGTACAATGCTGGATGTGCGACACTACGATTCCAGGATTTACAATCTTTACAACGTTTGTGCTCGGGTAGGAATTTTCGGTGACCATTAAGTTTACCAATTTGGTCAATCGATGAATGGTTGTCTCATCATCTAGAGGTATCAAAATCCGATACACGTACTGTATATCATTCATTGTTAACCGAATGCCTTTGTTAACATCACAATCTCGTCCCGTGCGATGTAAAATAAAGTGGATTAAATCAAAAAATTAACAAGAAAAAAAAAAAAAAAGTCCATATATATATGGATTAAGAGTTTCTTGTACAGTATGTACAGTATTTAAGAAAAGAATATGTGTCGACATGTACTTATGCACATATAATTAGGCATTCTAACGAATTCCTTTTTTGAGGCTTGTATAGATGTCAGAATTACCAAATCCTTGATAAATGCACATGAAATTTTATATTACCAGAAATAATAACCAATATAAATAGTTGTGTAAACCAAAAATACAATGCTTCTATAGTAAAAAATTATAAATACGTAAACAATAGTATATATCGATATACTTGAAATCAATTTTGGGGAGATGTGCAATATTTAGTATCATATATATACACTTACACAACAACAAAAGTTTTTTCTCAAGAACAAAAAAATTCTATTATCACATTTAAGGGAAATAACCGTCACTCCCCCTCTTCTCCTTTCCTGGCTCTCTCTCTCCCAAGAAAGGACGAACTTGACGAACGCGAAAAAAAAAGTATATTGGGAATTTTTATGTCAACATTCGGTAGAGTTTTTCCGGCGCTCTGCTATCAAAACTTGCGTTGTTTAAAAAAAGAGAGAAACACCTACCAGCAAAGGAACTGATATCCTATACGCATTCTAAAGAGGTAAGTAAAGTTTTTCCACTCACATGGGTGGTCAGTAGGGACGTTAGAATAGAAAGCATGTCAAAAGTGGTAAAAAGGAAGAGAAAATGGTAATCCAGCGATTCTGTGAAGAACGTTGTATTCTCAGAATTGGACACTGACTGTTGTTCCGGGAAACGACCCTGTCTGACGTGAAATAACGGAACGCCTAGGAGAAACCATACACTTTCATCAATTTATCATCAAGCTAACCTATTATCATAACTTTACGCTTAAATGAACTCTTCGATATCCCACAAAGCCCATTTTACCCTCACTGAATAATAATATTTTGGAAGGTATGCTTCAATTTTGATAATTTTTAATTTTTCTTGATGCGATCAAGAATATTGTCTCTTTTTTTGATGATTCAGTCGGTTATTAACGCTTTCCTTTCATCATAATTTTCTTGTCAATAAAAGTACCACCGTAATCATTATTAATATAGGGACAGAGTTAAAGGTAATTAATTATAATCAATGCATGCGTGTTCTGAACGAATTTCATTAACCTTCCTGTACCCTCTACAGTGACCATGGTGTGTACACGATCACGCGACTATAATGGTTCATCTCATTCAAAATACAGTCGTCATTCCGCTCATTATGAATTATATGACGACAGAGAAAGCAATTCCTTTTCTGATTACGATTCTGACACCTCTTCATCACCTTCACGACCGACGCCGACGCCGATGGCGAAAACTACATGGAAACAACAATTACCTAAAAACAGAAGACGTGGTTGTGCGAGTACCTATAGTCACGGTTCGCAGGAGGAAATGAGTAACTATGATTATGATAGTAATGACATTGACAAAGTATCGCCCTCGAGATTAGTTGTTCCATACAATGATCAAGATAATACACACTTTTATAATGGAGATATACAAATACAAGACGAACCAGAATTATATAATTCCTATAAACATTCAGATGATTATTCCTTTCAATATCCTTTAAATCACCGGATTCATAGACGGAGCATATATGATGATGATCATCTATCATCACGAGCCTTAATTAGGCAGCCTCCGTAAGTAGTTCCCTACATGGCATCTGGCCACCGCAATCATATTAATGCCAACGCCCTAATTGCTCTGTTTTTTCCTTCTTATGTAGACCAGTGAACTCGAGGCATAAAGGCGGACTACTTTTCATCCGAGTAATTTACGATATTTGGGGTGGATTCATGGAAGCCATAAACAATTTCTCTGATAACGTGATAGAAATCATATCAAGCACGCGACTGAATGTAAAACTTTTAACACTATTCGTTTTTATACTATTAACAACATTCATTTGGTTAAATGGTGATATCGACGCCGAGGACGTCAGCAATCATCACCACCTTCAATACGACATCTCACATCCTTCCGGCGCCGAGGCATACGAATCATCAATATCCTCCAAAATATGGTCTTTGTTGAGTTCCAACAAGGAATCCACCATCCAACACATCCTGGACGTGCAGCGACACATGTCACCCGAAATAACTGAGAAAAAAGTTGAAGAGATGTTACATAAATTTGTGCCTTCTATAGTTAGCAACGTTCTTAGGGATAAGATGATAAATGTTCAATTACCTGACACTGATAAACTTAATGAATTCGTGACCAAGGTTGCACACAGAATATTTATGGAATATGTAAAATCGGATATACTCAACATACCAGATTTTGCGTTGGGTTCAGGTGGTTCGCGGATCATACACTCCTACACGAGTCGTAATTATGTGGAAATGCCTGAATCTATCGCTGGAAAGTTTTGGGCAAGAATGACAGGACGAGGAATGATAGTAGGATTATCACCGTCCGTAGCGGTGACAAGTGACAATTCTGTGGGCAAGTGTTTCTCGTTCGCTGGAGACAAGGGTCAACTTGCAATACAGCTCAGCCGATCAATATACATTACCTCAGTCACCTATCAACATATAGATCGAGCGTTAGCATTGGACGATGATAATCTACGGAGTGCACCGGCACGACTTGCAATCTTGGGAATACCTGACGAGAAGTACATGCAAAATGCGACAAAAGCTAGAGTGACCGAAATAAAATCGGATGAATCGGAAACGGGCACGAGAGACAGCGATGGTACAACCACCACTTCCTCTACAAAAAAATCACAAAAACGTGTGACTCAAGATGATTTCATCAAACTTGGGGAATTTGTGTATGACCTGGAAGGACCGCCGGTACAAAATTTTGTTGTCGATCATTCCAATGGTAGCGAGAATATACCCATCAAAGGAGTCATATTTAAGATAAATAGTAACTGGGGACATGGGAAATACACATGTTTATATCAGTTTAAGGTGCACGGAAAAAACATCAATAACGTGATGCCAGTTTCATCTCCTCAAAGTTTTCAGATTACCGGTAATGGCGGTGGTAATGTGGCCGTCAATGATGATGATGATGATGGTGAGAAGAACAAAGGGGCCATGGTGAATCAAAAATCGCCCGTACAACCAGCTTTGGAGATGCGAATTTAATTGGAATTTTCAAAGGAATAAATCATTTTCTTTCGTAAGGGGTTTATAGGTTATTTTTTGGATATCTTCATTAGTGGCATCGTTCATAATTAACAAAAGTACAAATAATCCTGACAAAATTGCATCATCCAGATCACATTTTAGTATCATTACTCAAATATATAGCCGATAATAATATACAGATATACATAAACACATAGAAGCAATAGTATCATAGAGGTCAATTGAATGTGGAATGAAATTTTTTCGCATGCAGACGGAAAAACGTATATTCTACTCATCCAGAACAAAAAAATGAGGTTAACCGTAGGATATAAAGATATAAAAACTTGGAAATAGTGAAATTATTGGCGGAATATTTTTTTTTTTTTTTTTTGTACATATATAAATATTTATATTCTTATAACACTAAAAATTACCATTACGAAATAAAAAAGGTCCAAAGTCGTGGAAACTGGTGTCATATCCGGAAACTTTTTTTCGCGTATTACTGGTTTATCATAGTAAATAATTTTCTGTTAAATAAATAAATGGGTTTAGCAACAACCACCATCGCGAATTATGATTATGATCTTAATCAATCAATACCTATTGGCAACTACACCTGAAGCAAACTTTGTGACCATTTTTTTTTTGAATTTCAAGTTTTTCTTTTTTTGATAAATTTATTTTGAATTAATAATTCTATTATGATATAATTTTTTCAAAAATTAAAATTTTGATTTTATTATACAAATCCATAATTAAGATAATAAAAATTTTTATTCAGCTATTTTAAAAATATTGTTAATGGTTAACTTGGTATACTATCAAGATGGTTTGCTGAAGATAAAGCAGTACAAAATATTTATATTATAATTTTGATATTTATTCTCATAGAAAATTACTAAAAAAAATATTCACAAATTAATAATAATTAATTTTTATTCTTATTTATCATTTATAAAAATTAATGAAAATATATATACTGTATTTCAATTCTTAATATATTTAAAGATATAAATTATATAAGCTTTACTTCATATTTAATTTATATTTTCATAATTTAATTTTTAATTTTTTATATAAAATTTAAATCAATAAATATTTTATTGTAATTTTTAATATATTTATAATTATAAGTTATAATTTCAAATTATTATTTGGATTATTATTTTAAATCCAAAAAATTTTTGATTTATCTTCAAAAATAATTACTTATATTTAAAAAAAAAATTCTTATTTGATCTTAATCTTGTTTGAAATAATAATAGTAATCTAATAGATAATCCAGAAGAAATTAAAAAATTTATTAATAAATACTTAATAAAATATTATCTAAAAATAATTTCAGTTTAAATAAGCAATAAATTAATATATAATATGTTTTTTAATTAAAACAATTTTTAAAAAAATCTATAAGTTTACTTAATATTTAATTATTTATAATGAATTATTAAATATATTATAAGATATATAAACAGATAAAATATTTAATTTATTAAAAACATATTTTAAAACCATATAATATTATTTTAATATTAAAATTATTTTACAAATATTAAAAAAATTATCAATTATTTTACTGTTCAAAAAAATTATATAGTTATAAAAAATTTTAAATATTTAATTGATCTTACTTATTAAGTTAACAAGAAAAGTTTTTATTAAAATAATTAATACTAAATTATTAACAATTCTATATAAAAATAATAACTTGTTCAATATTAACTTTAAAACTTATCTTTAATACTTATTATTATAACAATTAATACAATAATTAATTTTAACAATAAACTTTAGATTGCTTTCTTTGATATTATCAAAGTATTTGATTTTATAAATCTTAATAATTTATAAAAAATCAAAATGTCTAATAAATTGTTTAATATTTATATTAATATTTCTTATAAATAAGAACTGGCAATAATAACAAATATAGAATTAACTAATAGACTTATTGTTTTAAAAAAATTAGATTATAAAAAATTTTTTTATTTCTTTTATAAATTATATTTTATGAATTAATAGTAATTGTAACTTAAAATATTATAACCAGTATTGGTATATATTTGCTTTATTCAAAATTCAATAAAATAAAACAATAGAATTTATATTCTATTAATTTTATTAATTTTATTGTAATATAGTATGTTAGCAATAAAACATTCCATTGATATTCAATAGAGTCAATGAAATGCTTCATTGATAAATGGAGAAATTGCTTTTTTAAAATAATTAATATAATAATAACCAATAAAATTTTATTATTTAATTAATTTAATTTAATTTTTAAACAATGTTCTTTATCAAACATTATTATTATAAAAAAACATACTGGTGGAAAGTCACCTCATAGGCTTACTTCTTATATTGAGATCCTATCAATACAAGTAAACAAGTCTAATAAAGTTACAATATGTAAAACATGTATTAATAAATTAAGAAGAGAATTGGCATTAGAAAGATTTGTATTTATTAATACTAAAGCTTATATTAAAGCACATTTAAAAAAGTATAAACAGTTTGCTATAAAATATATTGAAAAAAAACAATTTAAAATTATATATACATCAGAAGAAGAAAATCAATATATGGATATATTATCAATTGCAACTTCAAGTAGTTCTTTTTCAAGTTCTTTTAAAATAATTATAACTCCTTATAAAAATATTTCACATCCTATATTAAATATACAAAATCAGTTAACAAAAAATTTTATTGAGAATTATCTTATTCATGATTTAAATCCAGCAGAATATGTCATATTTGAGCATCATTTATTAAAAGTAACTATAAGTAATGGCTGGGTATTTAGATGGATTGAGAATCCGAAGTTATTGCTCTTTTCAAATTTCTTAATCCAAATATTTCTTTGCCTGGATGACGAGCTCTTGCTGATCGTATTTTAACATCACATAGTAAAGAATTACAATGTAAACAAGCTATTAATATTAAACAAGATGAAATTGGTAATACTTTAGCTTTCGATGGCTAGAAAAATATTAATTATCAAAAAGTTTTAGGAAGTGTTCTAATTATGAGTAAGGGAAAAGTACTTGTATGGAAGCTAAAGATATTTCAGATGATGGTGCTTGTACAGTTAATGTGATGGAAAAAATAAAAAGTTTTTTACACGTGCAGAAAAAGATGGTATTAAGATTATTGTGGTAGTAACGGATAGCGCATCCACATATATATCAGCAAGGTTCGTAATATACTGTATAATAGTAATTTTATTATAATTCTAATATAATTTATTATTTTGTTTTTTATTAAACGAAAAATGCGATTAGAATATACAGATATAGTCTTTCTACCTTGCTTTGCACATTAAGCAAACTTATGTGTCACTGATATCTTTAAGTCATCTCCTCTATATAAGACTATATCTTCAAAAGCAATAACTGTAGTGGCTTATTTTACTGACAATAGGCATTCATTTTGGATTAAAAAGCTATATGACGAACATAAGGAATTATATAGAAAATATTATGCATTGATAAGACCAGTTCAAACATGATGAAATAGTTATTATTTTTGTTTTGCATCATTAGTACGTAGCAAAAGGGCTTTAAAGGTATGTATTAATATATTTTTATATTTTATTTTAATAATATTGATAGAAAAAAAATAATTTGTTAATATATAGGCACTTGCTTTACGATATCAAGAATTACCTAAAAACATTATAACATGTTTGAAAGATAACGAATGGTGGCAAATAGTTAAAGAACTTGAATCTCATTTGCTTCTATTTATGGCAATACTTAATCATTTACAATGTGATGTTGCACGATTACCAGATGTTCTTCATGCATTTGCTTATTTTATGCAATTATATAAAAACTGTGAAGATAATTTTAGCAAAAATATGGTTCAATGTTTAGAGTCTCGATGGAAACAATGGGAACAACCATTACTTATTCTATCATTCTTTCTTCATCCTAAATATCATAATAACATCTTTAATAGCAATGCTCCTTCACTAAATTTACCTCAAATCAGTTTATGGGCACAATACTATTATAAAGAATGGTTTAAAACACGACCATCTGTTATTTTAGCAGAACTCTCAAAATTTGTCAATAAAGAATATCCATTTGATGATGATACTGCTTTAAACTTTGATGATATTCAAGAATATTGGAAATTTACGATAGGAGCAACAAAGGAATTAAGCATTCTTGCAGTTTGAATTTTTTCAATATGTGTGAATTCAGCATCATATGAGTAATTGTTTTCATTAATGAGTTTTATATATTCGGAACGACGAAACAGATTACAGGTATGAAAAATTTATTATTTTAATAAATATTAAACTATTTGTTAAATATTTATTTTATATTTTATTTAGCTTGAAAAAGTGTTTTCAATAGCACAAATGCATGCTGAAATAACTTATAATCGTGCAGTTAAAATAGCACGTGAGTTAGAAGAACATATATGTGCAAGCACTATTACATACAATATTGAAAATCATGAATTTCATTCAAAACATATTCCTAAAAGTGTTGAAACTGAAGTAGAAGTAATAATTAATGAAGATGAAGAAACAATGGTAGATTATAATGAGGATAATAAAGATAGTTTAAGCACAAATGCTAATGTAGATGATGAATGAAGATTGGTTCTTAATAATTGGTCAGAAGATCTTATAATTGAAAACATCGAAACATCTAATGAGACGTTTATGAATTTAAATCATCCAGTGGATGATTCTGTAGGAAAGTAGTATCTTACAGATCTGTTTATAGCTGAGTTCCCTGCACCTTTAGCAATAGGAAATCTTCGATCAATTTATGGTATATCAGAAAATAGTCATAATCAGTAGCATTCATGTATGCTATGTTGTATTAATCACGAATATAGTATTAGTATTTGGTTTTTCTAAGCCCATTATAATTAATATGTTATAACTTTTCTGTGTATTAAATATTGCAATGATATGATATAAAGTTAACTCTGTCTATTTGAATAAGTAAATTTTAATGATTATAAATCGAGGTGACTTAAAAATAAGAATTATAATTTTTTTTTGCAATATATTTTCAATGTCTAAAGAAATCAAAAGACATGATCTTATTATTGAATTAAAAAAACAAATTTGTATAACTGTAACTTTTTAAATATTTTATATACTTATATAATTATCTTGATTTATTTGAATTATATTTATATAAATATTTTTGTTTATATATTAATATCTTTTTTCTGCTACTTATTTAATTCTTTATTATTATTTAATTTTTGATTTATTTTTTCTAAAGACATCTTAAATTATAATTAAGCAATTACATATGTTAATAAAAAAATATTCAAATATGAATTAAATTTTATTATTAAAGTTCAGAGCTTTATATAGTAGCCTATTTATAGGCCTCTTCTTTTTCAAGTTAAATATTAAAAAATAATACAACTTTGATATTACTGGGTTTTCAAAAATAAGCTACTACTTATAAGTGTAATAGCCTTATTATATAAATAAAAATTGATAAATTAGATTTTCATTTAATTATAAATTTGAATTTTTCACTTACTGATATATTTTAGCTTTATGGTAAGTATCAATAGTTCAATATATATCTTTATATGCTAATCAACACATAACCACTCTATAGAAATTATTTTTTACAACAAGCTTCTTTACTTGCAAATATATTAAAAATTGTTATATATCTTATCCAGCTAAATATTATTATTTTAATATTATAAACAAGTATAAAATAATTTGATTAATCAAAATAATCTATATACCTAAAGGAACCAAATATAAGAAATATTCAATTTTAATTGAAAAGTTTCTGTTTACTTTACAAATTTTAACTAAACTATAAAAATTATTTGACCATAATTCCAATAACAGGCTTGAATTAACTCTAGATATATAAATCAATAGACTGCTTTGAAAAATTGTATAATAAAATTTCAAAATATATATTAAAAATATTATAAATCATCTTTTTCAATTAATCTTCTTGTATTATTTTCTTCTTTAATAAATTAATTTATAAACAATGGCCTTTATTGATTATGATTATTCAAGCACTTTTCATTAGTTCAAAATTCTAATATTTTTACTAAATTATTACCATATAGGTGTGATAATTTGGAAGGTAAAATGTATAAATGTAAAGTTACTATATATATTAACTTTAAAGTCAAAGTTAATTACTCCCTGAAACCATATATAATTGGATATATTTTAAATGGAAAAATTGTATAAAGGTAATGTATATTAGGATTTGAAGTCATATTATCTTTGAATCAACAATCTCTCCTATAAGATATAAACCAAATATGTCCACTTAGATTACTGCTTTCTTTTTGATAACTGAATGCAACTCCAGCAACAGTAGAGAAGCACTGGCTTAAACTGCCAGATTATGAAGTGCAACTTTCTGATATTTCACTTTTATTCACAATAAAAGTGCTTTACTTTTACTTACATTGGTTAGGCTTTAGCTACTGTTTTTCTTTAATGATAACATTGCTGCTTATGGGTTGCAATTTTATTGTTAAGATAATATAAATTGATAATATGATTGATAAAAGAGTATTGCAATTGAAATATATATAAGTTGGATAACTAGAGCCTGCTCTAGTTAATTGTTGTATTGTTTGGATACATGTTAAGTAAAAATTATTGAAACTTGCACAGGGCACAGGTTATATACTCTCTCAATCTGTTAGGTTATCAGTTAATCATTTGTTGTTATTATTATTGTTATTGTTATTATTATTATTGTTATTAAGTATAAGAATTTTTATTGAGGAACTGGTTGTAAATAAGTTTAAACAGGTTTGATATTGTTGTTAAAGAGTGAAGATATTTTATTAGTCATTTGTTAAGTATAGATCTTTGAATAAAATGAAACTGATTATGGTTTTTAAGTGAATTTGGAAAATTATAGAAGAGTGAAGAAATAATATGTAGTATTAGTTTTAGATAGAGAAAAAAAATAATAAATTTTTAAAAATTATGTTAAACAAATATTAAATCCAGTAACTTTGTTTGAATATGTTGTTAAAATTAAATTTGTATTATAGAAAAAGAAAGGTAAGAGGAAAAGCAATTATCATAGTTATATATGTTTCCTTATTACTATAAAGGAAATTTGATTGACAATATAATTCTGAATTAAATATGATTTTCAATTATTTACTAATTGTTACTTAATAATACAAACATAATATGGGTTTTGAAAAATGTTTGAATTAAATACAAACACATGTATAATTATGGTTATAAAAGGAAAGATACCTAAAGACAAAAAATTATAAAAAAAGACTGCTATAAGCCTTTTTCTATATAATCAAGAGCTAAGGAAGATTTCCAATTTGCTTAAATTTTGACCAGAGATTCCATCCCAATGCAATAGTATTTCTTAAAGTTTTTATGTCCTTTGGATTTAAAACTTATTTATCTTGAGGAGTAAAAAAAAAAAGATATTTTTTGAAAAAAGATTTCTTAAAAAGAAAATTTTCAAAAAATTAGTAGTAAATGGGCAAGAATTTTTTTTAATTCAATAATAAGAACATGTTTTTTGGTTTTTTCAAATATTAAAAATGTATCACAAAAAAAAAATTACAATTCTTATTTTTAAAAATTTTTTATAATCATTTTAATCAATAATTATCAAAATTTACTTATTTAAAATAATAGAATTGATTTTGTATTATATTATTACAATATTTAATATATAGAAAAAACTATTATAATCTTAGCTATTTATAATATACTAATTATAATAAGTTCAAAAAAGTCAAATATTAATACTATATTAATACTAATGTGACTAATACAATATAATATACAGTATATAAATATACTGACTATAACTATTTTCTGACATATTATAAATTAATCAAAGATTTTTTATTGCTAAGGATGCTAGGAACTCAATTATAAACAAGTTTATAAAATATCATTTTTCTACAGAATCATTTGTTAAATAATTTAAATTTATAAATATCTCATCAGGTGTTTTGATATTTAAATTATAAGGTCTTCTAATTAGTAATCAAAAATCAATTTTCATTTATAATTTATATCAACATTTGTATCTGAAATATTTTCACCATTACCATTATAATATACTATTGTTTTTTTACTTTTATTAATTATTACTTTTACTTTAATTTCATTACTTTTAGAAATATATTTTAAATGAAATTTATAGTTTTTAGTATTATATATAATAGTATTTGCATATATGTATTCTTCTAATTCACATGCTATTTTAATTTTAATTTTTTTTTTTAAAACTAACTTAATCTTGCTTAGCAAACTTTATTAAGGTCAATATCACATACTATTTTAATTGTATAATTATAAGTTATTTTAATACATATTTGTATTATTGAAAACACTTTTTCAAGTTAAATAAAATATAAATAAATATTTAACAAATAGTTTAATAACTATTAAAATAATAAATTTTTCATATCTATAACCTGTTTTATTATTCTAAATATATAAAACCCATTAATGAAAATAATAATTCA